CTCTCTCTCTCTCTCTCTCTCTCTCTCTCTCTCTCTCTCTCTCTCTCTCTCTCTCTCTCTCTCTCTCTCTCTCTCTCTCTCTCTCTCTCCATGATAGCCCCTGACTTTACTGTCTTCATGATTTGATTCCATCAGGATTCGAACTCACTGTCTGTTTACTAACAGTGACAAGTGTCTGCCATTCAGCCCCATGGACTGGGTGGAGCCCCTGCCCTTTCTTACCCGTCTTGATCCTTGGTTCCCAACCTGTTGCATTTGCGGTACCACTTGTGAAGTTAATGGAGTTATTTACTTCTAGCTATGTACTTTCTAAGTTCTAACTACTACATACTGCTATCTACGTACTTCTTCCTTCTTTTTTTTCTATTTTTTTTAACCGTTTCTCGATTTATGCGTGTCATCCTTGTGCAGGGGCCATGCTAATCTTCTCTGTATCGTTACAATTGTAACGGATGTTCTGAAGGACTCTATCTATGTACTTCTAGCTGTGTACTTCTAGCTGCGTACTTCGAGCTGCGTACATCTAGCTGTGTACTTTGAGAGTAAGCTGCTTACAATTGTGTAGTATTTCTCTGTGTTTATGATTGACACCGGCACCGGTTGCATGGGCATTGTTGATCTCATTTGGTTTGGTGGCATTTCTTCTCTGCTTTGGATGCAGCAATGGGTTGATCTTGCCCGGTTTTTCAATCTGCAAGCGAAAAATGATACCCCACCGCCCGAGTCAGCAGCATTCCATCCCTCCGCTGCAATCAAAGACCTTCCCGCCCTTCATGATCCAGAGCATCAGCATGGAGCGGAGGAGCCCTCGTCGTCGGCGTTGATGCCAACAGTAATTAGGGTGGATGTGGTTCCGCCTCACACCATCATTTCCGACAATTCGGCATCGAACAACGTCTCTGCTACTGCTGCGCCTTCTCTCCCTCTTCCATTACCATCCGGACTCACGGCCGCGGCGGCATCATCGACGACATCATCCCCAGAAAGCCCAGATCATCACCGGTAATGGCCATCAAGGGGCTTTTGATCTGCTCTATACACTCGTGAACATACATACGATGCCTTTCAAACTTTTACGGGTTCTAGATCTCCTGACTCGTCCAGCAACGGAACTGAATGTGTTCCAGGGACAAGCTGGGACGGATGGAACGCACTGAAAGTTCCCGAACCCTTTTTTGACAAGGACAAACCTTTTGTGCTGTGGATACGCAGTATGTGTACATAATGATAGCCTCGTTCATGCTTTGCTTAGAAGGAAACAACGGCGCCTTCAGCTGAGCAGAGACGTATTCGGACTGTGAGCGACGAACACAATGTCACGCATTGCCGTCGGCTTTTGCGAACCAAGACGCATGGGTTCATTTGGACAAGCAGACAGTTGCGCTCATGCTTTGAAGTACAGTGTTTGAGTCTGCTGCACATACATTATTATCTTGTTATAGCCTTCACGGCAGCTCAAAGGTCAACAAGTGTTCTCTAGCTCCCCATATGGGAGGTGTTTGTAGGTCTTCTCCATCTTGGTTAACAAGGTGTCAGTCTTGGCATCATCGCAGGATTAACTGTTCAACGAAGAAGGGATCGAGAGGGACTGCGAGTGACAGAGGATTAGCTTACCTGAGGGGTGGGAGGAGGAAGCAGAGGGAGTAAACGGCTTTCCGTATGGGAGACGTTGGTAGTTCTTCTCTATCTTGGTTAAACGACCAGTTCACGCAAGCCTAAGTAGTGGGCTCTTGCCGGTATACGCAGCAAGAGAGAGCACTTGGCTTCGGGTGTGGGCCTGTAGCCAAAGTGGCAGGCCACTTTGGAAAGGCGCAGTTGCAGGCTCGTGAGCAGTTCACGCAAGCCTAAGTAGTGGGCTCTTGCCGGTATACGCAGCAAGAGAGAGC